AGGAATAGCTTAAATCTGTTCTGGAAAAAAAATAGAAGAACCAGGGCATTCCACCTTGTCTCACACAGAAATAAGGTAGGAGCAGCTGTACTTGTGAATGCGTATGGGGGTAGACAGGAAAATGTTTGGGGCCCATTATGGACCACACTTTTCACTATAAGTTACTGTTCTTGCTTGTTGCCCATGTGGGTGTTTTTTTGTTTTGTTTTGTTTTTAATTGATTTCAGAGAGAGAAAGGGAAAGGGAGAGAGTGATAGAAACATCAATGATGACAGAGAATCTCTATCAGCTTGTACATGTAAATAAGACTGAAATCATAAATATGTGACTGGGATTGAACACATATGAATTTTCCTTTTAGTTAATAACATTGGGTAGTGCAATACTAAGTTAAACCTAAATTGTTTTTAAGGCAATATTTATAGTGATAGTTGGTAAGAATTATCTAGTGAATAACAATGTAGAAATGTCCTTTCGTACAAATTAGTTTTAGATATTGATATTTAGTTGCCTAAAGTACACTTTCCCCTAAAATACAATAATTTTAAAAGAAAAAATAAGCCCGAATGACCATATAAAAAATTGAAAATCAGGTGTATTTCCTTTTTGTTAAAAATGCATTTAGGCCGTAACCGGTTTGGCTCAGTGGATAGAGTGTCGGCCTGCAGACTGAAAGGTCCCAGGTTCGATTCCGGTCAAGGGCATGTACCTTGGTTGCGGGCACGTCGCCAGTGGGAGGTGTGCAGGAGGCAGCTGATTGATGTTTCTAACTCTCTATCTCTCTCCCTTCCTCTCTGCAAAAAAATCAATAAAATATATATATTTTTAAAAAAATGCATTTAGATCTGCTTCTGGTAAAATACTGTGGGAACCCAGAATCTCAACAAAATGAGCAATCAGCTCTCCTCAGAAAACACTTTCCCATTAACTTTCTACTTCCAGGAGGCATCAATTATTGCCGTTTAATTTTTTTCTTTCATTTTCACTTTTTGTTTCTGAGTGGGAAATATGAGTGCCCTGAAACCAGGGAGCAAACCCTCTTCTTATGTTCTTCCATATTCTGTAATTTTACTTGTGCCGGCTTTTTGAGAGAGTTACTCAATACGTGCCATCAAGTGGTGCTGTTATTATGGAAACGTTGAATATTCCTTCATGGTTTCCACTTTTTTAGAAGTGGTGGTGTAGCCACATAGAGCCTAAAGCCTTGCACTTGGAATACTCCTGTCTAAGCATTAACACCAGTCCCCAAACCGTCCTCCTAAAATGTATCCTCCTTCTACAGTGTTCTTGGAATGACATGAAATACAATGGGTGTACTTGCTAAAGTTAGTGTAGTGTTCAGTTGAGTAAGTAAAGAAGGAGTGGGGGACTGGTTGTCAGGTGGCACAGTGCACTGAAATAAAAAAAAAAATAGCTTAAATCTGTTCTGGAAAAAAATAGAAGAAGAAGAACCAGGGCATTCCATCTTGTCTCACACGGAAATAAGGTGGGAGCAGCTGTACTTGTGAATACGTATGAGGGTAGACAGGAAAATGTTTTGGGCCCATTATAGACCACACTTTTCACTATAAGTTACTGTACTTGCTTGTTGCTCATGTGGGTGTTTTTTGTTTTTGTTTTGTTTTTAATTGATTTCAGAGAGAGAAAGGGAAAGGGAGAGAGTGATAGAAACATCAATGATGAGAGAGAATCATCTATCAGCTGCCTTTGATCCACCACAGAGACAGGGATGCTTGTAGATCTCTATTTTCACGAACCAGTCAAATAACCTAGCAATTTATTCCTATGCTTTTGTGATCCTGACATTTCTATCTTTTTTAAACCTGTTGACTCTAATATATCTGCTGTACAGCATTTAACTATAGATTTGTCATCCTTACTGAATATCATGTGTATTTTAACTCACAGATCCACTTCCTCATTCATTCTTGGGTCCTCAACACACAAAGCTTTGGTGGCACGATGCACACATTTTAACTACATAGCAGAGTGTCTTCACTTGCCACCTCTTTTGATGCAGCATCACTGTACATCCAGTAACAATGTTACATCACAAGCAGGGAGAAGCAGTAAACAGAACTAAGGAAGGAAGGATCTGGCTGTCAGGGTAAATGTAAATAGCAGCTGTTCCAGTCAAACTGTTTTTAAAGCGACCACACGGTGAGAGCTTTGCATAAAATGGGCCAGAACTGCAAAAGTGACTATACTATATGCCATCTTTTTAAGAAAATATCTCTGTGCCATTTTTTAAAGCGACCACACGGTGAGAGCTTTGCATAAAATTGGCCAGAACTGCAAAAGTGACTATACTATATGCCATTATAACATCCTTTTAAGAAAATATCTTTGTGCCATTTTTTTTGCCAAATATGCACACATGTCCTCCCCTAATTGGTTAGGGTAATAAACTGCTGGTATTAAGCACTTTAAAAATATGGCTTGTACATTGCAGTGTTATTAAAAACTGTGGCCCTTCAATAAATAGCACTACCCAGACTAATCGGTATAGAGACCCTTCCCATTTAGTTATGTCACCTTTCTATTTAAAATGGAGAAAAGAAAATGATGTTTTCTAGCACATGAATATAAAAATCTTAACTAAGATTTATATGTTGCAGCTGTGTTGAAACAGAATACAGAGGGTAGGGGGGGATCATGATGAGATAGTCCGCCAAACATTGTCTGATCTAACATGTTTACCTCATGGTAATATTTATACTATGTATTGAACTAGACTCTTCCAAGACCTAGAACAGGACTTCTCACATTGCAGAAATAACAATTTTTTAAAAAGTTGTTAAACACTCAGTGAATGGATAAAAAGAATGAATGACAACGTTAGTGTCTATTGGTAACATAAATAAAAATTAAACACACTTGCATACATATGAGTCTAATTTTAATGCTTGTTTAATCTTTGTACACATAGAAACTTCATATTAGGATATTAACTAATCTGCATATAAATGTACTTTTCTGTCAAATAAACAGGACAAAAACCCCACCAGTTTCTCTTTACTCAATAGGTATAAATCATAGAAATAAACCACCATTCAATAGTTTTTAGCCTTGTTCCTCGTTAATATACATCAGGGAAAACTTTTGAGATAAAAGCTTTTAGGAAAAGACTATAAACAAATATTGAACCGATTTAATTGCATAATGCTGAAGTCTTTAGGGAGATGTATACTGAGATTTATAATTTACTCTGAAATGCATCAAAAATAATATGGATTGATGAATGAGTAAAGATAAAGAAAGGTGAGTGGATATTGATAAAGCAAGTAAAATATTAAGGGTGGACATAAGGCAATTCACTGTCGAAGTCTTTCAACTTTGCAATATGTTTGAATTTTTTTATAATTAAAATGTTTGAAAAAAAATTCTTAAGAATTTATTTACTTTTTTCCCCTGTAGCATTTTTAGTTGTAATAAAGGCAAGGTGTCCAAGAATAATTTAAGATAAAATTACTCTTAGGATTATATTTTCTCAGTTCTATATTATCCTAAAATGTTTTCCTGTTTTCTATTATTGGTAATTTTCTTTGTCCTTAATTATAAATGAGTTTCCCAACCTGAAAAATTATTATTTCTCATTTCCAGAGAAAATGAATATATTTACTGAGCAAAATATATGAAAGTTTCATTAATATTAACTAGCCTATTTTGTATATTTACTTTGTATAACTATAAACTATTCCTACTCTATAATAATATTAACCATTTTTACTTCTTTCTGGTATTAAATTATCCACTACTCTGTTATTCTATGAGTATAAAGCAGGATTAAATCCATTACATCTTAGACTGTTACTTTGGCTAATCACCATACAAACATCATATGATTTGGACATCAAGCCTGACTTTTGAAAATTTTTCATGGCAAAATTTGATTGACCTGATGGCTATTAGATCACCTTCTCCTCCTTTGAACTTACCTGAAACATTTTATCTCTAACACTCATTTGATACTTGTATGACAACAGCTTGTATTATATATAATGTCAACTATGTCAACAAACATGTACAGATTATAGATATTACTTCTATAGGTACAATATAAATTATAAAGTGCTAATAAGGTGTTTTTGTGTTTGTTGTTATTGCTGTGACTAGTATTTGGTATGGTTGTCACCTTCCTATAAACAGGGATGATCTTTGATGTCCTTTTATATCCCCCATTACTCTTACCTAGCACTGTACCTTGAACAAAGTAGGTAGTGAAAGCTTGCTTTTTAAATGTTTTTAATGGTTGAGTAAGAGTTGGCTTGATTGAGCTTTAAAAATACTGTTGTTTTCCAGACCAAAGTCCATCAGTAAATCTTTACCAATAAACCATTGTTGCCCCATGTCTTGAAAATGTACTTGGGTTTAAGATTTTATGAAAGAACCAAAGTTATTTATGATTTTATTATACTGATGAAGCATCAAATATTTTGTAATGTACTTAAGAAGCATCGTTAGCAACATAATGATATGAAACCAATAGAATTCATTTATCTCACTTTCCCAAGTGTTCCAGCTTCTTTGGAAAATCATTTAGACCCTTTGCCAATATTTTGATAGGTCCCCTGGAAAAGATAGCTGAATATTTCGGATATACTGAGAATGGGCTGTAGGTTGAGCAGCAACAAGATGACATACCCACGAAGCTTGTTCCCAAGGGCATTAATTAATGCCCCTGAATCTCAGATGATGTCAGTCTGGCCTAATGGCCAGAGCTTCAAGGGGAGTCAAAACTCCTAGACTGCGGTTCTGGGTTTTCCCCTTGATTTTCCACATACCCCTACCTGGTAAGTAGCTTTTGTTCCTCAGTTTCTCCTCATCACACCCATCTTACTCCATCCCCCCAAAGGTCCTTTCCCTGGGATTATTCAGAATGAACAGGAAAAATGATCCATCTGACCACAGCCAGGAATGAGACGTGAGGAAAATATAAGGCACTTCTCTTCCTGAGTTTGGTCAATCCTGAGAAACTGACTTTTATTGTCTGCCAACAGGGGAGGCTTTACACTTGGCGCGGGATTTTGGCTACACTTGTGAGACAGAGTTTCCAGCCAAAGCCGTAGGAGAGCATCTTGCCAGACAACATATGGAACAGAAAGAACAGACAGCAAGAAAAAAGATGATCCTAGCGACCAAGTAAGCCAACGGGGAAGCCTCTATGCCGCTTTATCCTCGGTGTTTCCATTTTCTATGAAGTGGGGAGGCACTCAGAAAGAGAAAACACCTTCATAGTTTCTTATGGTTTCATGGTGCATATTCTAAAACAGAGAAATCCTTCTCCCTGTCCTCTTTCTGCAGGAATGGTTGTATAACTGTTCACCACTACCACCACAGCCGCCGTTAACATTCCAAACACAAGTCCATTTTCTTGGGAGCTTCTGTCACTCTGTTGAAGTGTCTGGGAGTCAGTGTATTCAAACTGATGCGGAGGTCTTGTTTTCACACGAATAAATGTTAAAAGAACTTGAGAGAAGAGAAGTACTTCCATATTTGTCAAAGTTATGCTGAGGCATCTGCTGTAGAGTAGTAGCTTCAACTTGGGAGTTGTATTTTCTTTCTACCTGGGATCTAAGTCATGTATATTATGTAGGTGATATTTTGACCTTTGACTTCAAAAATATTGTGAAAACATGTACTTTTCTTTGATTCTTCTGCCCATAGCTGAACATTTGCAGACATTAAATATCAAGCAAAAATTTAATTCTCTAGTTTCAATGACCTTATTTTACATGAAGTATACAGGCCATAAACGTCTAGAAATTAGATCAGAGCCTTTATAATTTTTTTTCTTTTTTGGTTATTTATATCCATCCATCTTCTTATTAGATAATGTGAAATGAGAATTAAGAACCTGAGACGACCTGGCTGGTGTGGCTCTGTGGTTGAGTGTCGACCTATGACCCAGGAAGTCACGGTTCGATTCCCAGTCAGGGCACCTGACATGCAGGAGGAAGCTGATCAATGATTCTTTCTCATCATTCATGTTTCTATCTCTCTCTCCCTCTCCCTTCCTCTCTGAAATCAATAAAAATATATTTAAAAAAGAAGAATCAGAGACAATGCAGTTATAGCAAACATATACAGTACTAGTAGTCATCAAATTAAGTAGATAAAATAAAGGATGTGTAGGAATAACACACTTTTTCTACAACTTACCAATAGATCCAACATGTGTTATGAGTGGTTTCTACTGAGTGGTAAAGCATTGGCTGTTTTTAATTAAAATACTCAGAGTTGAAATTAAGCAGCCTACATAGACATTCTCACAAATCCCTTAATTCCTAAGAGTGTGACAATTGTGTCAAAAATATGTACAAAATTCAAAATTCTTTGTATGAGAGATCCAATTGCTGACCTGCATTGGCTCACATATTTTTTTTATCTCTGTGAATAACAGATTCACTTGTATTTAATTATATTGCCAAATATATAATTGTATGAAGGCCCATTGATTAAGTGTCATTAGCCTCCTGATTCCTCTTTATTTCTAGTGCTTAGTTGATTAACCAAAATACTTTGATGTAATTAGATAGTTATTTATGAGGAGAGATAGAAACTGAATTAGAAAATTTGTGAAATCTAAAAAGTACTGGACAAAACATGTATTTGATTTATGGAAACACATTTAAATGTCTTCCTTAAATTTAGAACTAAATATGATTAACATTTGATCTACATAAAGGTAAAGCAAAATAGTTAACAAGTTTTAATTAAGCGTTACCATACCATTAATCATCAACAGGGGAAATATAGAACTTTCAATTCAGACATCAGCTAAAAATTGTGTCCTTCAGGACAATGACGTAAGTGACAAAGTTAGAATTTATGATTCATCGAAGATCATCTTTTGTTACATAATTCATAATGTGACATTTTGTTTGAAGAAATAAGAATATTTCTTATTGTAGCTTCATAAATAAAATTTTAAATAAGAATAAAACTAGGCATAAAAATAATAACTTTGTGTCATAATGAGATGATGATTATAATTGCCAAGAGGATATCTACAAAATTATCATCTTTTTTTAAGTCTAGAAGCTTTCCTAAGTCAGTGAATTAAGCAGCAGATTCAAATATCTAATACTGAGAATTCTGAAACTCCTGAAATAGCTTAATGCGTGGTGTCATTGAATTGCTTAGCAAAAGTTAAATTTTCCTACATTTTTGCCATTTCCTCATTTCTTTTTTTTTTTTAATATATTTTATTGATTTTCTACAGAGAAGAAGGGAGAGGGATAGAGAGTTAGAAACATCAATGAGAGAGATCAATCAGCTGCCTCCTGCATGCCCCCCAGTGGGGATGTGCCCGCAACCAAGGTACATGCCCTTGACTGGAATCGAACCTGGGACCCTTCAGTCCACAGGCTGACGCTCTATCCACTGAGCCAAACCGGTTCGGCTCCTCGTTTCTTTATCAACTTAAAAATTAATCATAACTTGTTGTATTGTTAATATAGTTAGAAAGTTGATTTACTACCTTATAAATTAGTTTACTCAATTTTCCAAATAATTCCCTTATCATAACACAAGAACTAAAGCAATGTTTCAACCTTCATTTTAATTTTTAATATATTTAAACCTAATAGAAAATTTTTAAAAACATATCTTTAAACAACTCCAATATGTTTTTATAATAATGGATCATATTGATGGACTGCCAGATAGCAATTCATTTTGCTAATCTGAAAAATGATAGCATCAGTCTGTACTTACATTTTTAGTTAGAAATTTCCTTAAAACAAAGATAATATAGCCAACTATTAAGTAACACAAAGCACAACAGATAATGATGCCCACAGATGTCATCATTTGATGCCATTAAACACTTACCTTGAGTTGCTATTTATCTATTAAAAATAGTTTACATACCTGAAAGTCAGCCAACTGAGTCTAACTCAGAACAGAGAAAGTGAGAAATTCAGATCAAATATTCTCAATGGAAGTACAAACATGCCAGAGACTCAGCCAAATATCCGCAGGGGCCTGTGGAGGATCCTGTTTTCTTTAGGGCAAATAAGGACTTACCTCTGTTCATTGGTTTTTCCTTTCCCCATGATCCTCTTTACTTCCCCCTGTGTTCAAAATGACCAAGGCAAATTCCGTGAAATGAAGCAATATTTGAATACTGGCTATAAACATGAAGCTCATTGTTCATTAAAAAAAATCTTTTTAAGAATTCAATACATTTTAGGCAACTAATAATAAACAAGACTCCACTGATTTTAACTCAGTGATAAATTATGTGTGCTTCAAGATATTTTGTCATTTTCCACCCTTGCCGGTTTGTCTCAGTGGATAGAGCGTAGGCCTGAGGGCCAAAGGGTCCTGGGTTCAATTCCATTCAAGGACACATACGTACCTAGGTTGTAGGCTCCTTCCTGGCCCGAACCCTGATTGGGACTCGTGAAAGAGGCAACCAATCAATGTGTTTCTCTCACATTGATTTTTCTCTCTGTCTTTCCCTCTCTCTTCCACTCTCACTAAAAATCAATGGAAAAATATTCTCGGGTGAGGATTAACAACAACAAGATATTTTGTCATTTTCTAGTAGTTATTTGTTAATGACACAAATGCTTTGGACAGGAATTAGTGGCTGGGACCATGGAATAACAATCACTTGGAATAAATTGGCCCTTTCATACTTGTCTTTGGCTACATGGATAATTATTGTCAGGGCTACATGATTACATTTTATGACTGCCCACTGTTAATCCAGACAAGTGAATCTATTCACTATCATATTATCCCCTGAATATGGAGTGACCTCACTTTAGAAGATATATTCTTTTCAGCAACTTCTGGGGAGTCCTTTCCTTCACTCTTTAGCTACTGCGTTGATCTAGCGTTTTGTTGCCATTGTTTTAAAAAATGTTTCTGTATGTTTTGCTTCTTTAGAATATATCATTTGGAGTATGTATTGCAAAGCCTTTACTTTTACATACCATACATGGTAATGTGGCAATTAAAACTGAAACCAATGATCCAAAATCATAATCATTTAAAGTAAGGAAAACAGCAAGTAAATGCCCTTACATGGAGCATGACAATCATTTTTGTGAGGCTAGTGGATGACATTGTGCATAAGTAACCACATCAAATATTAAACTACGAATTTAGTCTACAAGAGCCTGAATTATAATGAAATATTGGGAAAAGGGGGATTTTCCAAAGTTCACTTGAATCATGGCTCTGGAATAAGCCTATAACTTGATTTAAACTTCTTTACAGATATGATATCACCTCAACATCATATTTTAATTTAAAAAGTAACGATTGCTCATAATCCTTTCACATAGGTTTTCCCTTGTCCTGAGGTTAACCTATGAATATTCGCCGTAACGTTAACCTTGGTTTTATCAGTGCCCTTGGACTGTTGCTCACTGGAGAAGTTTATGATCGCACTATGTCGAGAGCAGCACTGCCACTGTGCACCTCATCTGTACGTTGCAGATGAAACTTCGCAGGTTGCTTTATGAAACTGTATCTAGTCCTCTAGTAAAAGAGAAAACAAGCCTTTAATAAAATGCCATGGGATGAAGTTAAAGCCCCCGTTTCACGAGTTCAACTTCAACTTTGAACCTTTTATTTTAGACAAATTTGTAAAGAATTCCAAGACCTCTTGAGCCAAGATAGATCACCCCTGGGATCCTCCAGACCCACTCCAATTCTAGACCTGGACATCCAGAGGCACTTAACACATTTCAGGTAAGACTGGGTTTCTCATTTGCTCAGACTCTCTTTTTAAATTGTTCAAACTGTCTTTACTAATTGCTCAAACTGTCTGTACTAGACATTTTGTGTTCCTATCACAATTCCATTTAGAGATATGACATATATGTATATGATGACTAAACTGACGTTTTTGAAATTCCAAGCATCTGAAATAAAATTGTAAAAATAACTAATGCATGAAGCATTTGAGATAAGAAGAGTTAATATCTTTGGTGATTATCAAGAACTTATGGCTTTAAAAGTAGCCACTATTAGTTTAAATAATCACACTTTGGATTAGGAGTCTGAAATCTGTTAAACAGTTCTTTCCCTTAATTAGGTAAATTGTTGAATGAACAGATGATATGACAAATTAATGGGATATTATAGACTGATTTTCCAGTATAATTTCTACACAACTAGAAATGCAAATGGTTCTTAAGTTAGTCCACACCAACATATTTAAAGGGCCTACCCTAGAATGTATTATTAAAAGCGTATTTTGAATTTTTTTTTGAGAGGCTTTGGAGAAGAATATAATATTTTTCCTGGTTAACTTATGCCCTGGATGCAATTTTGAAAATAATATATAACTATTTAGGTGCCTTCCAATTTAAAATTTTAGGATTCTATGCGGCATGGAGTTCTCATCAATATAAAAATATTTATTCTCTTTTAATTAGTATCATTTAGCTTAAATACAATGCTAAGGAAAGAGTAATATACATTAAATTTTTAAAAGTTTTAAATACCTCTCAGTGATTATAATGCTGTTGAGGAGAATACCCCATTATGATAAAAAATAGAGACTTAAATAAATTAGAATTTTATCTTCGGCATCAGAAACATTCAAATAGAATATTTTTTCATAATATCACAAGGCTCCTCAAGATATAATAGACACATCTCTGAAGACTAAATTTAGGATTTATCTTCCAAAAATGCAGAAAATATAGGTTATAGTTCACAGGACTTTTCTCCTATGACTCAGCTGGATTAGCGAAGGTGAGTGTTCTAAAACTGGAAGGAAATACAATGCCTATACCTGTAGAACAAAATACTTTGGAGTCAATAGAAACGTCTTCAAATTTAGACCCTTACACATTGGAGCTGGGTTGTTTGGGGTAACTTTTACACTCTTTCCAAGCCTCTCTTTCTCTAGCTGTAAGTGAAATAAGAACCCCTCCATTGTATCCTGGTAGTGAGCTAAAATGAGAAAAATGAATATAAAGTAAGCATCCCAATAAATGATGTATTATGTACTCCACCACTGACCCAAGTTTAAAAGGTACAGATTGCTCCACTATTGCATCTGTACATATATTTTCCATATTTTTATTTGTGTACATACTAAAAATATCTACAGTTTTTACAGAAGTTTAAGTCAAAACTGAATACTTTTCATACTAATTCAATTATGGATTTAAGGATGTTTAAGGTACAAATTTGCTCTAAGGAGGAATTTACTGTTCAAATACAGAGAACTGGACCTCTATGTCATGTCTACTAGGTTATTACCAATTATAGATGCTGCAGCCTTCATCATCTGTGAGCTCAAAATAAAATACAGCATCAATGTGTAAATCTAATATCACCTACAGTGTGAAATAAATAGTCAAGTCATTTGGTTTGCTCAGTATAGGCACAAACTGCTAATGTGTTGATATTTTAGTCATTTGACAACTTAATGCCACAGAACTCTTCAGAGAAAACTTCAGCTTCTAACTTAAGCTAAATGTTACCCAAATGGGCTTTAAATACTCTTATTTACACCCCCATGCAGAATATGGTAACAAGCTAATCTGGTATCTCCCAGAGAAGAGCAAAAGATATGGTAAATTGCTCCCCCAATTCTCAGTTTTAAAAAAAGGGAAAGAAAGATTAAATTTGGGGTGTAAAACTCAAGATCATCTGTGGCTGCAGATTCTCAATCACAGCCATTTGAGACGCATAACCATCCTTAAAACGTTTAATATATCTACTTATAAAAGTATGATCTATAAAATTTTGGTGTTACTTATATGTTGAGTATTTTGATATCAGAAAGTTATGAATTCCACTTATTATACTCTTTTGAATGTTTGCTGGATTTTTAATTTATTTCTCTTTAATTACACTTCAGATTAATTATGTAGATGAAATCTTTTGATTTTATAATGGGAAACAGTATGATGTTAGAAGTCTCTTAACCAAAATTCATTTTGTAGCAAATTTCTTAAATTATACCTTTTTAAAATTGTGGTGAAAAACACATAACATAAAATTTACCATCTTAACCATTTCTAAGTGAGCAGTTAAGTAGTGTTAAGTATATTCACATTGTTCTGCAACCAATCTCCAGGACTTTTTCATTTTACCAATGAAACCATGACTATTAAATACCAATTCCCCATTTCCTGCTTCCCCCAACCCCTGGCAATGACCATTTTACTTTCTGTCCCTCTGAATTTGGCTACTTTAGATGCCTCATACAAATGGAATCATGCAGTATTTTTTTTTTCTGTCACTGGCTTATTTCACTTAGCATAATGTCCTCAAGGTTTATCTATGCTGTAACATGTGTTAAATTTTCTTCCAAGACTGAATAATATTCCATTGTGTGTATATGTGACATTTCACTTCTAACTTGAGCTAAATGTTACCTAAATGAGCTTTAAATATTCTTATTTACACCCCCATGCATCCATCAATGGGCACTAGGGTTGCTTCCACCTCTTGGCTATTGTGAATAGTGCTGCTGTGGACATGGGTGTGCAAATGTTTCTACAAGGTTCTGCTTTCAATTCTTTTGTATCTATACCCAGAAGTAGAACCACTACGTCATATTATAACTCTATTTCAGAAACTGCCCTACTGTTTTCCATAGTGGCTGCACTGTTTCATATTCCCACCAACAGTGCCCAGGATTTTATTTCATTTCTCCACATCCTGGCCATCACTTGCTATGTACTTTTTTATTTTATTTTTGGTAGTATTTACCCTAATAAGTGGGAGGGGATATTTTATTATGGTTTTGATTTGCATTTCCCTTATGATTAGTGATATTAATCACTTTTTCATATGCTTGTTGGCCATTCTGTGTCATCTTTGGAGAAATGTCTATTCATGTCCTTTGCCTGCTTTTTAATCTGCCAGTTTGCTTTTTGGCTGTTGATTTTTACGAGTTCTTTATATATTCTGGACATTAACCCCATATTAGACATATGATTTGTAAATATTTCCTATTGTGTAGGTTGCCTTTTTATTCTGTTGTGTCCTTTTTATATAGATGCATAGATGTTTTTGACATATGATTTGTAAATATTTCCTATTGTGTAGGTTGCCTTTTTATTCTGTTGATTGTGTCCTTTTTATATAGATGCATAGATGTTTTCGATGTAGTTCATTTTGCCTATTTTTACTTTTATTGCCTGTTCTTTCTGTGTCACATCCAGAAAATCATTGATAAATCCAATGTCACAAAGTTTTTGGCCTACTATGTTTTCCTGTAAGAGTGTTATAGTTTTAGGTCTTGTGTTTAGGTATTTGCTTCATTTTGAGTTAATTTTTGCATATGATATAAGATAAGTGTCTGACTGCATTCTTTTCCATGTCATAAATTACACTAGGTCTCACTTAATATCCTCCATAGGTTCTGCAACTTTAAGCAAAATGTTGGATAATGAAACCAATTTTACTCTAGGCTAATTGATACAAACAAGAGTTAAGCTCCTATGACATCTCATCAACACTATATTGAAACTATGTTATTGCAGGACCTGCTTTGTATATCCTTTTAAACAAAAGGTTTAAACATGGCTTAAACATTGCCAGTTAAAACCCAGATTGAATTCTCCTAATGTAGATTGGATTTAAGTGGGTGTTTTTGTTTTTACTGTGCATTTATTAAAAGTAGCCTGGATAGATTATCTTAACAGGACTGTAAAAGTCAGCATGTTGCCTGACCTTGAAAGAGACTCCACACGTTACAAGTGCAGCCCTTAAACCTGGCTTCACAGTGGACTCTCTCTCGGAGCGTTTTAAAACGCTTAAGAACTGGAGTACCCCTTTAAAGAGCTGATTCAACAAGTCTAGGATTGCACTCAGGCATCCGTTATTTGCAGATATGAAGCTGATTCTGATAGTTAGGCAGCATTAAGAACCACGGTCCTGGGATATTCCTAGACTATTAGAAAAACAATTCTTATTCATGTTTAAAGTGATGCTGAGAGTTATGTAAAGTTCTGTCCTATACACTAACATATTAAAGAGATTCCTAACTTTGAAAACAGTCCATTGGCAGAGTCTTATTTTCCAGTTTTTGCTGAGCGCTGCCTGGGAAAAAAGAAGAGAGCATGATTGGATGGGCATAGAGAATAATTAGTAACATCACCTGTGCTACTATTTTATTTAGTCAAAATCTCCTTCCCAGTGCAGACCACTTGAATTACACCTGATAGGGTGCTTGATTTGGTTCCTTAAGAACTGTGGCTTACTTTCGGCAGGTTGAATATGTCCCGGTAAAGCGAGGATGTGATCAGAGTAGTTGACATATCAGGGTGCTCTGGAACCCCGTGCGTGCAGGGACCCTCCTCGCTTTTCACAGCCTGGAAGACTGCTGTTTCCATCAAAATAACAGGAGGCAGATTTATTCATTATATATAATTTAGTGAGTGTGAAAAAAAAGTGTCTTGCTGTAGAGAACACAGCAGACACCACAGCTCCTACTGGAAGTGGGAAGAAAATGAAATGAAATCTGCAGGAGACACTGTAGACAATTCCCAGGAATGGCAACGGCTGTGAGATCAGTGACATCGGGTTCCACGGACAGAACAGGTTCTGCTAAGATAGAAACCCAGAGCCCTAATTTTTCAAAATGTTAGGAATTCTCCTCTGAGGTCTCAGGAAATGTTAAAAACTTTTCCCTTTTTTACCTCTTACGTTCTCATAATTGCATTGAATCTGAAGCCAAGCATCTGGCAACATGAATAGGGAAGGAGGTTAGACTGTCGTTA